TGGTTAAGCGCTAGTTAAGTTCCCCTAATTAAGCATGATAAGAAAACAACTCAACCAAGGCCTCATGCAGCCCGGTGGGCACCTTCCTAAGTTCTCTCTGGACTCCTGATTCAAAGAAACTGTGAGATAAATGTGTGCTGTTTTAAGGCTCATAATTTTGTGTAATGTGTTAGGCAGTGATAGATAAATACACCTTCCCTTCTGAAGTCTGCATTTGAGGGCCATGCTCTGTGTCTGGCTTCTTTCACTCATCATTATGTCTGTGAAGTTTATCCACACTGCTGCCTCTGCCTTTGATTTATTCCTTCCATTTGCCTCAGATTTTTCCAATAGTATAAGTAAACCATAGTTTATCCAGTCTTCTGTTAATCCACATCTTAGGTGTTCCCCACTTAAGGATCTTCAGGTAACACTGGAATGAAAAGTCTTTATTTTCATATGGATACACATGTGCAGGCATATGTGAAAATTTTAAATTGTTTTCCGATGTGTTTTAAATTGTTCTTCCAGTGAACTCCCCAACCAACAGTATAGGCCAATCCTCATCAACTTTATCTTCAGAAACTTCATCAGTTACTTCACTATGTCACATCTCCTTCACGGGGACCCGGAAGTGGTAAATACACAGGGTGCTATGGGTATTACCAAATCCTGTGGACACTTCAGTGCTTTCTGACCGCCATCATTTACCTATGGACTGACTCCAGTCCCCTAGTTACATCAGTGTCTATCAGGAGTCAAACAGGACTGGTTACTCTGGATGATCCTTTAGGGAATCAGAGGCCTCTTCGGAGGAGGAAAAGGAATCTCAAAACCACTATACACTTAGAAAGATAAGCATTTGCTCAGATTGATGATAAAGTATATTTTCATGGAGACGATATTTTTCAATGCTCAGTCACTGATTCTCATTAAATTCTTGAATGAACTTGCTGTTCATAAAATTAAAACACATACTTTCTCTTGATTCACAGCATTTGGAAGATAGTACTTGTTTTTCTTGCCAGTTATACACTGGAGATTAGATTCCTCCCTCAGCATTTTCCCCAATCAAATAAAATGTCTCTACTGTCAAATCTGGAAGTAATCCTTGGTGCAGCCCCCACCCTAGAAAGGTATTCACCCAAATATGGAACACTTTCCCCACCTTCCACTTCCAGCATGGCTGCCTCCTTCGCCTTGTCTCTTTATGACTTAAATATCACTTTTATTACCTTCAACTACTCCCATATAAGCACAGAGAAAATAATAACACCCTCAACTTTAGCTCCAGAAGCCGAATACATTTTAATAATACATTCATTTTCTGAGATAGATGTCTATCTCCTCCAAAAGTTAACAGCCACCCTTAAATCAGCCCTGGACTGAAGGTTTTCACTAAGCACTAATCAAGCATTCATTAATTGGGGGGGGGAGGTATATCCTGTAGTAAATAAATAGATGAAGTAAATGCCCGGATTCTTTGACTTCTACCATCTACAAAACTCTCAAATCATTTCATTTATTTTCTTTTCCATAACAATCGTGACACCTGTGTTACTGTGATTCTATTCGAAAAGTTATTCAGCGGGAGATTCTATCCTGACTCCATGCCTTCACTCTCATCTTTCGGAAAGTCCTCTCCAAAAGTAGGAGTTATCAGGTTCTATATAAGTTGTAAATGAACTCAAGTCACTTTCCTGCTTAAAACGTTTCAGAAGTTTCCTTGGCCTTTGAATGTTGTCTCGAGAATCTCACTCCTGGTCCTGTCCCTGCTCTCCACTCTGCCACCACTCTTCGTTCTTCTGCCAACCCTCTTTCTCAGTTAAAAAGAAAAGAGAAGAGAAAAGGGAAAAGAAAAGAGAAAGAAGGAAGAAAAAAGAAAAAAAGAAAAAAAGCTCTCAACTACACTATATTTTGCTCATGAAGTGCCCTTCACATATAATTCTCTCCTCAATCTGCAAATCCTCACTCCAGCTCAATGACCTGAGTAGGTAAATCTACTCATGCTTTGCTTCACAACTTAAGTTATCAACCCCTCACAGGATGTATTACCACCTCAGAGCAAGACAATTGTCCGTATCAGAAAATTGCCAGTTTTCATTTTTTTTAATTCTTCTTTAAAAAAAAATTTTTTTAGGGGAAGGTGATTAGGTTTATTTATTTATTTATTTAAATGGGAGTACTGGGGGTTGAACCCAGGGCCTCATGCATACTAAGCATGTATTCTACCACCATGCAATACCCTCCTCCTCCAGTTTTCATTTTAAGTATGTATTCCCAGATAGACACAGTAAGCCCATGGTGCAGTGCTATGTCTGTTTTGGTGGCCACTGTCGCTCTGTCCCTAACACACAGCCTAACTCACTAACAGAATTCAATGATCATTTGTGGATTGCCAAACAATATGACATTCCCCTCAAAAATGTTCCACTATAGTACACACAAATTTTAAAAGACACAGAAACAGAATTATAACATAAAAAATCACATAAGGCTCATATAAGATGTCTGTGCACAATACAACAGATGCTAAAAGGCAACTGTTACAAAGGTTGCTCAGGAACACTATATTCTGAGCACCAAAGTATCATCCATGTATGATTTTTTCCCTCAAAAAGAAAAGTCTATCTTTAAAAGATTGCTCTAGTGATCACTACCACTACCTTAAGCAAGTAATCAAATTTAGCATCACTAATCAAGGGATAGCATATGTTCTTGATGGAATGCAATCTGATGTACACAT